TGACGTATGAAGAAAATCCAGCGAATGGTTCTTGAGGTATCTCGCTGACCATCTTAACATGCAGGTTAATATGCTGAAATCTTCAAAGTGTCACCAAAATTAAGTGAAGGTCACCAAAATCGACTTAGCCCTGCGCCTTCCCTAGATAAAGTTTGGTGATGAATATGAAGAAAATCTAGTGAACGGTTCTTGAGATATCTCAATGACATGAGTAAAACGTTAAAGTCCCATTGTGACCTTGAAATGAAGGTCAAGGTCACCAAACCTGACTGGAACCTTTCTTATACTGTGATGAACTTAGGTACCAAATATGAAAAGAATCTAGTAAAAGGGGTCTTAAGATATTCCAATTCGTACGTACGTACGTACGGACGGACGGACGGAACCTAATACTATATCCCCCGCTTCGCGCTAAACAGGCGGCTGGGGATAAAAATGTAATTTTCTCTCAGAACAGTCAGCAACGTTTGTATCTTGATGTGGATAGACACAAGTTGTGTTCTTTGTTAAAAAGGCTTGATGAAGTTGGGACACGTTCAGTCGATATATCAGCTGGCGGTGGTCTTTTTTTGTGGATGATTTTAATGTTTCTGTCGTGGTAATAATATGCAATACAATAGAGAGACAGCTGTAGCTTTTGTCTCAACACAATTCACATATCGTCACATGAAAACGGCTTAAAGTTTCTTAATCCAATACTAATTGTATACATTTCTGCCGTAAATATATACCGTATAAATAGATCCAGAATTAATTCTAAATAGCACCCCATCAAGGTTGCAAAGGAGGCCAGGATCTTTGGGCATATTTTTTAACTCTTATTCGACGTTTCTACCACATATTAAATACCTGCTAAAAATAATCTGCTACAGAGTTGAACTGAGTTTGCCGATCCTTTTTCTGTGAGCATTTTCCAATGTAATTACATATTCTCACTAACATTATACTGGAGACTATCACGAGTTCACGTGTAACCTGAAATGTTTCATGGTAGACCCATCATGTTCTTTGAGTCACATATGTGTATGGCCAGATATTCAAGATTCGATTGCCACACTTTGCACATTTTGTTCATCACTGACACAGACAATCAAAGTCCGGGGAAGAATAGGTATGCTCATACTGAAACGTGCAAGGAAGATTACACCACATTCCTTAGATGGTTACGGATGCAATTGCCCTGATTGTCAACGGTAGATACGTCCCAAACAAATATGCCGTGTTTCACTTTTCTTCATTTTAGTTGACATTTTCACTGGATGTAGAAATATATGATATATATTGAACTATTTGCTCTCCTTTTCCAACATACCATAAATAGCTTCCTGGCCTCTTGTAAACATTTTTCCACTTTTCACACCGGCAAATACAGTTTGTATTGTTATCGCAACAAACAGGTTGAATTTGGAAAAATGTTCCATAAAATATATCACATGATATGTAGCTTTTCTTGGAACATAAGCAATATCTGAAGCTGCATGAAAGAATCCATTAGCCTCCTTAGTATTCCGTGCTAACATCTGCAGAAAAGTGTTAAAGCGACGAGTGTCCAAAACGTTGGATACTTTCAGGGCAGCTTTGTACATTTTGAGTCCAACAGGTGCTGCGAAACAGGTCCCAATAGTTTTCTTCATAGATTTTGGCAAAAGTTCTGCATTAATCAACCAGACCTGTGTCTATAATTCCCTCTACGAGGATCTGTACATACAAGACATCCTCTCTTATTCCGCCTTTGGGAAAAACAATAAAACCCTTCCTTTCTGCTTTTATGTTAGAAAAAGACGAAAGTCCATATTAATACCCACGCAAAACCTGTTGCGGGTCGTCTTATAAAAATAGATAACAATATGTTCACAAAACACACCATAGTTTAAATATTTGTTATGAATATGTTTAAAATACATTTCTGAGTGTAGCGACTTTGGGAGTATCTCACCAACAATGTAATAAGTAGATGCATGTCTCATTTGGGAGTTGCTCTATACCTCAAACAATGTCGACGCGACGTTAAAATTTTGAGTCCAATGCGAACCAGGTTCCTTTTATGTTAGGAAAAGACGAAAGTCCATATTAATACCCACCCTATTAATAGATAACAATATGTTCACAAAACACACCATAGTTTAAATATTTGTTATGAATATGTTTAAAATACATTTCTGAGTGTAGCGACATTTGGAGTATCTAACCCACAATGTAATAAGTAGATGCATGTCTCATTTGGGAGTTGCTATATACCTCAAACAATGTCGACGCGACGTTAAAATTTTGAGTCCAATGAGAACCAGGTCCAAACAGTTTTCTTCATAGATTGTTGCAAAAGTTTTGCATTAATCAACCAGACCTCATCAAATGGAAGGTTATACATGTTCCAAACATTCAGCAAACTATAAGAGATTTACAAACATTATTCAGCATTCATTCCATTTTTCATAATTTTTCAATTTTGGTGCTTATTACGCTATGCCGCCTTTATTACGCATTTTAGCTGGTGAAAACTTATTGTCTTAATTTTAAAAAACAAAACTTTCAGATAGCATGATTTGTACAGTGGGTTTCCTTTAATGTAAGTAAGTAAATGAAGGAAAATGAATGCAATGTCTCCATTACTATTAGAATTAAACAGAACAGCATTAGGTTTTGCAACTGGTTTTCTCAAAACATTCAGGAGCCTATCATTTAAAGGAATAACAGAAAAATATTGTTTGTGAACTTCTTTAGAAGTACGCCTATATAATCGACCCAGTCATTATAGTGTGTGTTACATAGCTGAAGTTAGGGAACATCGTGCAACACTGATCAATAGTCCAAGTATTTTAAAAAAAGAATAATCTCTTTGAAAACGCAAAATCATATGGAACTTAGGAAGTGTAGTTGATTCTCTCTGCAGTTAGAGTATATAGCATGCACAGGAATGTATTGGTGCAGGTATCTTCATCCCAACTCACAGATGACCACGTCGAGCCTTCTTAATGTAAAGAAATTTGGATACAGTCATAAATTGACATGGCCTACTTCAGTTAAAAACGTTTGCCTGTTTTACTGATCTAGAAACAAAGAATGTGAAAGAGGACAAGCAAGCGAGCCTAACCATCTGATCCCTTTAGTCACCTCTTACGAAAGGCATGTTTTTAAAAAAGCCAATTCTAACCCGGACCTTCATGTGTCTTATGGTTATCAAGGTATATCAGGTTAGCGATAAACTTTATTTAGTTAAATTTCTTGGATAAATCACCTTGTCGTGTGAAAGATTCGAACTATGTCGGTTTGGCTGATATCCTGACGATATGATTTATCAATAAATCACGCAGGCTGTTAAGCAATATATTATCTCCTAATTTTCATCCTAGGCTTATTAAGCATATTACATTATAATTTTCTTCATATTCTTGTCATTTGAAAATGCATTTACAATTGCATGTTTATTTCACCTGATGTAAAAACGCCTACGATTCGCGTCATTCTGAGCCAATATCAACCGTTTGAGAATGATCTGAATCATCCAAATCCATCTCTCTCTGTCTAACATCCTTAAACAAAGCCAACAAAGAATTACTGTGTCTACAGATTCCGTTTCGTTTGCGATATTAAAACCATTCGAGACGCGTATAACCATTTATTGTTTATAAATACTGCTTAAATACTGTCTGAAAACTAACATCTTCTCACTTGAAGATTAGATGTCATGACAAAGCAAAACGTAATGGCAAAACATTAGGTCAAAGAACAAAGGTATGATCCAACACAAAATGGTACAATGTGGCAAGAGTATAGCTCACTGCTAACCAAGTGTACAAACTACATTTCATTTTGAAAACAAAATGACAAAGTAATGACACAAAAATACGTCTTTTTTTAACATGATTGACGTGACGGCACCAGTAAAACGAAATCGAACCTGGGATGTAACCATTGGTGGAAACAAGCATGTGTAATTTGATCTCTATTAATCTCTATTTGATCTCTATTGTTTCTGAGACCAAGATGTTTAGGACACACACATGACCAACATGCCATAACCTGACTATTAACCAGGTGAGCTAACTTGGTAGATTGTTCTCCCGTTCAGTGATGCAAAGTTAAAGGCAGGAATGTATCACAGAGAAATGTTCTTCCCTCTGGCATAGAATCTAATTTAGATATTTTAACAGGATGAAGAAAAACATTATGCTTGTTGTAATACTTTTCAAAATGGTCCCTCTTCCCATCATACCATAAATATGTTCCCGGTAACTTTACCACGTTTATCCACTCCTCGGTACATCCAAACACTGTGTGAAATATTATTTCAACAAATAGATTGAATTTTGAAAAATGATCCATGTAATACTGTACCTCATCTTTGTATTTTGCAGGAACATAAGCAATGTCAGATTCGCCATAAAATATTGCATCCTTTTTCTTTGAATTTGTCGATATCATTTGTTTGAAAGTATTATACTTATGTTCGTCTACCACTTTTAGGGCTGTAAGGGCAGTCTGGTACGTTTTTAAACCAACTTTAGGATGCGAAAACCACCCCAATTTCTTTTTTTCAGATGGTTGAAAAACCGATGAGTTGACAAGCCAGAGTTTGTCTAGAGGAAGGGCATGAATATTCCACACATTAAGCAATACGTCGTCACCCATGTATAAATATCCATCAACAGTGTATTGCATTTTCATGGCTTGAATGAGACAGTTCTGAGCAAACCATCCATGGCCAATGTCAACCTCTACAAAGGTCAAATGCTTGCGGAGAGGCTTAGAGTAGTTTTGAAATTCATTTTTGTTAGTTCCACAATAAACAATGTGTGGGAAGTGCAAGCTGTACATTGTCTCAAGAACTGCCAGGTTAGCATAGTGAGGAAAGTTGAAGACTACAATTAATAAAATGTTAGGATATGTATTAATTTGATTGAGACCGTTCAGTTCTAACATGCTAAACGATTGATTGGTATGATTGTTACAATGAGAAGCTATTTCACTAATGTGTGAGACAACATTTGGTGATATCTTGCCTGTGGAATATACTTGAGGTGGTGTCTGTTCAGCTGCCCAGAATGTGACATTGACCTGTTGATTTGTCATGCGAGTTTGGTTTGGCAGTTTTGAATCTAGTGTGACTTGAACGCCATTTTGAAGAGAACCTAATGGAATTCGTCTTGGTTCTTTGTATCCCAGTGTTTTGAGGTCTTTGACCCAGAAGTGAATGAGGTCAGCATCCTCTGCCTTCCAAAATTTCTCATGTGCCATGTCTATAGACAGTTTAGTCATGCAGGCAAAGAATGGTTTGTCTGGTTCACATGTCCACGTTCGGAGGAAGTCGACAAGACGTTCTGTTTGGAAATACAAATCCTTTTCATTCACAGCATCCCGGATGTAGGAATGTGAATTCCTCTTTTGGAATGCATTTGGTGGAAAGAATCCCAAGTTTCCTCCCATCTCCCAAAGAAGTCTCTGAGCCCAGTAGCCTCTCCAGATGTCACATACTCGGAACGTGGTTGTAGTTGGAATCAAGAGAGCCCACAATGCATCATAGAGGAAAAGGGTATTCTGGGAATTAAAGGGAGAGAACACCCCAGCTGGAACAATTGCTGGTGGAGCTCGGTCATCAAAGGTCACATTGAGCTGAGAATGGGTTTGTTTCCGTGTCAGTCTAAAAATGGCATCCATATCCGGGTCGCCATTCACAATGCCCTGTTGTATGGACGGAGTTTTCCAGTGACTCAGCTCATACTCTTGAGTGATATTTTCTCCCACAGAACCAAGTGGGTAGCCTCTTGGCCATAGTGTTGGCTGTCCAAAATGGCGGTAAGGGTTGAAAAGATTTTCTCCTTTATACAAGAGACCCCACATTGTTGGATCTAGGACAAACTGTTTTAGTAGATCAAGAGGGCGGTTGTCATCATCAGTTTCGTAAATAACTTTAGCGCCATAGGCTATTGCAAACAGATACCCCACTGTCTTCCTGGCATAGCTCCGTTCTGGAAGGTGTGGGGTTGTCTCAAAACCAAGTCCATGCTGATCGTCCAAGCTCAGAAAGGTACAGTTAGGGTACCTGGAAAGAGCAAGATTTAACATAAACGCCAATATTTGATTCATTCCTTGCTTTTGAGTGAGTGAGTGAGTGAGTGAGGCATCATGACATGATATAATTAATACATAGTGACACTGATCTCACACGTAAACCACTTTGACCTCTCTTTGAAGTGTTCCATGATTTAATAAAAGCCATGTTTTACACCTGTACTTATATCACACCTCAAAATTAAACTCACTATAAAGCAATGGCATAAGTTATGGCATCCTCAAAATATATCATTCCACCTTTTATATAAAGACTGTATTATTGTAATTGGTGGTGATATTAACACAGGCACTGAGGACGCAAAGGTAGACTATGAGTTGTGTCGTTTCGACTATGAACATAACAATGAGAAAATTGAGCATGATAGAAAATCTCAGGTTGTTACGGTGAATAGATTTGTCAAGCCACTTGTGCAGGGCACATAATTCTACATAAACCCTGACGATCCGGGTCTTCAGTAACCATGCTCGTTGTGAGAGACAGCTAACGAACGGGATCGGGTGGTCAGACTCTCTGACTAGGTTGATGAATGTCATCGTGTCCCAAATTGTGTAGATTGATTCTTATGTTGTTGATCACTGGATTGTCTGATGCACTCTTGATTGCTTACAGGCTGCCATTTAGCTTGACTCTTGCTGAGTGCGACAAACAAACATGGTTCTTTATTGTAAGCGTCGGTTTGGATCAGATGTGTGATTGGATCGAGGACATTCTTTGGAAATATGGGACCCGGACTTACTGATTATTCTGGGATGTCGACAAATTCAGTAGAGTGCGTCCAAGGTTTCTCGGCTGATTGTACTTCTGACTCAAAACATTTACAACCGGGGTTGGGCATTTGAAGTATTGAACAACAACTTTATTAGAAACAACTTTTCTTTTGATAACCCAGTTTGGGATGTGGAAGTTTGAAATAGTGTTTATTCTCACCCGGATCTTCACGGGTGGAGACAAGCATCGGTTAGTGAAGATCAATTCTAACTCCGATCTTCACTGGTGGAGACAAGCATGGGGTTACTGAAGGTCAATTCTAACAAGGATCTTCACGGGTTGAGACAAGCATGGGTCACTGAAGGTCAATTCTAACCCGGATGTTCACTATTGAGACAAGCATCGGTTACTGAAGATCAATTCTAACCCGGATCTTCACGGACAGGCGAACATAGTTCTAATCTTCAAGCGAGAAGATGTTAGTTACCTCCAGTCCTTTGGTGTTGTGGTGTCACCAACAACAACGATCTTCCATCCGGGTATCTTTGCCAGGAACTTGATGTCCGGAGTTGGGTAGGAAATGGTAGTCACAACTATCCATCTATCTGACCGAACTGTCCTGAACTTGTTTATCACCCTGCAAAATACGACGAACGTGTGTATTGCAATCTCTATATATATTATTTCTTTTTGTTATTTAACGCGGAACCCAGCAATATTCCAGCTATATGGCGACTGTCTGTAAATAATCGAGTCTGGATTAGACAACCCAGTAATCAACAACATGAGCATATATATACAATGGACTCCCTCTAAATCCACAGGGGCGGCGGGGTAGCCTAGTAGTTAAAGCGTTCGCTCCTCACGCCGAAGACCCGAGTTCGATTCCCCACATGGGCACAATGTGTGAAGCCCATTTCTGGTGTCCCCTGCAGTGATATTGCTAAAACCCAACCCAACTCACACACTCACTCTAAACCGACATCGCTCGAAACGGGTAAGAAATGTCGGTTTAGAGGGATGTCGGTTTAAAGGTTTTTTAGAGAAACTCACTCCTAAAGTAAACCACACACAGACAGGGTTAAACAAACACAGTGAAATATATATTTATATCAATGCCTCTTTATTTACAAACATCCTCTGTGTAATAACAAATGATAGAAATATTAATATTTAATGATGAACAAAGAATTCAGTCCTGGTGGTCCTGTAACAATTTCTGCTTGACCTCTGGGGTTAACTCAGTCCCTGCTCTCTTGGGAGTAGCCATTGTGGCTTGTAGTGCAGTAACTGACCATGACTTCTTATTATGATGATTATTATATATGTGTTGGTGACACTGACTGATAATACTCATGCTAAATTGAGATGATGTCAATATCAATGTCAATGTCAGTGTCAATGAATTATAACAAGCACTTAGCTTGTGATTTCACTGAACCCACTGAACAGGTAATCATAACATATTTAACGGTTAATCCTATTACGTCCTTTCAGGCCACCTCTCGCCCAAGCGTGTTGATTGCTAAGTACATACCATGTGAAATACACCCTTGTGAGTGAGTGAGTGAGTTTTAGTTTTTATTTGATATTGTATAGGGAGAAATTCGAGACCAAATATATATGTCGGTTTACAGGGAATGTCGGATTAGTGGGATGTCTGTTTAGAGGGAGTTTATTACTACAATATTGTGGCGAGAACACATTGATCCCCGTAAAATATATACATATCGGGGTACAATATTAACATGTATCAACCAAGTCAGACAACCTGACCACCCGATCCCGTTACTCGCCTTTTATGACAAGCATGGGTTACAGAAGATCAATTCTAACCCGGATCTTCACGGGTATCACTTGTATCAACACAATGAAGCCTCAACTGTCAAAAGAGATCGCAGAAGAATACGACTCACCTTTGAATCGGTTTTGGATACCTTACGGTTGTGTTGGTTCTTGGCGAGAACGAGAACCAGAACACGTATACCATCACAAAACACATGCACACAATGTTCAGAATTCTGAAGACACGTGAAGACTTTGCCTCCATCCTGATGTTCGTGAGCGTATCGCCCCTTCTGACGCTGGGATCAGGGCAACGGCCTTATCGCCTTGACGAAATGTTGCAATCAAGATTATCCTACCTCGTGTAAGAATGTCCGTCTCTGATTGGTTCACGTGACCATGAGCAGATTATCATGTATGCCCGGTGCACATCCTTACACCGCCCGAGCGGGTATAAATCTTTGCAAGGGAGAAAAAAATCATTTACATGTATACCCCTACCCCAAGGAAAAAGAACAGAGCAGAACAAAATAGAACAGAACAGAATTTTTTTATCTTAAATCATACAAAATGATCTAAAGAACATGCAATCGTTATGATATAATAACATATAAATAAAATATTGGTTTAGAAAAGGCTAAGAACAGTTTTAGCAAACAGTGATAGTTGCAATGGGAGTGGGGGGGTAATCTGATTTCATAAATGAGATAAATTTGTCCATATGTTGATTATTGAAAAAAAGAGAGTGAAGTATCCTCCTACATTCAACATTAAGATGTGTGCATGATAAAATAACATGAAACTGGACAGAAATAACATTATTTTTACAAATTGTGCATGTTCTCTTTTCTAGGCTAATATCAAACCATCTTCCCATTTCAACTGATAATCTATGATTTGAAGTTCATAATTTTGCTAATCATATACGAAATTTTGATGGGAGATCTAAAAGATAAGGTTCTAAAGTGAGGGAGATTTTATATAAATGATAGTTTCCTTCAGAGGAATTTTTAGCATCGACATGCCATGATTGCTTGATCTGGTCAAGTTAATGAAATTTTGACATGATGTTTCAACCAGTGGATGATGGGGAAATTTGATTGGTCAAAATCAGACATGTGACATGAGGCAGCCACTCATATTACGGCAATGAATACTGTCCTCGTAAACGAAAACCTTTATATTTAGACGAAAGTTTTGGGTAAAATAATGCTATTCGGAACATATTAAGCACGAAAACGCTATGTATACTTAAATTATGGAACTTATTGGACGTATCGTGCTAGGTTATGACCTGTGACAAAAATGCTTCATGCATATATTTTCGCATTAAACATCGTGTCCAAGCGTGAAGATTGAGGCGGCGAAAGCCGAGATGTAACTTGTCAGTGACTTGACTCGTATTGCATAATCGCACAAAAAGATGGAAATAGTAGTTTTATATGTACGTTTGACAACTTTTATGAGTGCTATTGTTGATTTTATTCATAAGTTTATTCAATTTATTTAATGATTTCCTTGAAACATTGTTACATGCGGGTGGGGTCGGAAATCCATTACATGTACATTTGGTAGCTTAGTGTGATAAAAATGGATGCGTAAATACATACACGCCGCAGAAACATGATCAAGATTTCGTGGTTAGTTTTGATGAATTCGTAAATGATAATGTTCGTAATTTATTAGGCCCAATATCTGAAAATAACATCGAAATTATCGATCGGCACAATAACACGTTTTAAATGTTTTAGTCATTATATACATTACAAAATTACGCTGATTCAACAGCCAGACCATCGGGCGTGAAACTTTTTAAAACTGACCGTCCGGTCGCAAAACAGACCGTCCCGGACGGTCGGGCAGGCGGGAGTTTGCAACGCTGATTATAACCTTGACTAAGTCTGGACAATGAAAGTAATACATTTGTTCGTGAACATCAAAGGACATTGTAAAGAAATTTACATAGTTAACGCAATAACATTTGCAATACATGTCATATACATCTACAGGCCCCACATAATGGGATACAGTAGCGTGGTATATTCGTGACCAACTCGTGTTATTTTCCGGGACAAGCTGAATCTGTTTAGGCTACCGAAAGGGGCGAGTGGTGACGAATGTAGCGTGGCACTCTCCCCGAGTTAACTGACCATTCACGAGCCGCCGTTTAGCCAAATCCAGAGCGTTGTCAAGTAGTGTTGTGAATTGGTTAAAATCTCATAATTGATGATTGCTTCATTACCAACGAACAATCAGCGATACAAATTGGTTAGCGTCAATTTCAGATTTTCGTATTCAGGTTGGTATTGCAGATATGTACAACATGATACACCTTGCTACTTTAAAGAGATGTTGATATATCATGAACATAAACCTTCTGGGGTCTTCAAGAAATATTCAGTCATGACTTTTCAGTTAGTGAAGTGAGTTTTCCAAGAATTAAACAAATGTTCAGGCTCTGACAACTTCGAAGATATGTTCCATCGTCAAGTGTTTCAAAGACTAAAACAGCAGTTCCAAAATCATTTGTGTTCGATTATGAGAAATGTGATCGATTGCTTGGTCGTTTGGTCACTTCGACCAATCTTCGATTATTTCAATTAATCGGAACACCACGTGCACTATTGTCAAGCATGCAAGTTGGTAGTTTAACTGGTAGGGGAGGTAATAAGTTACGCACTACTGTACTTTTTAGTTGGATTTTATGTTAATTGTAACATGTCGCGGGCGTTCTATGAGAAAGGCACTAGCTTTGTAAAATATGTGGGGTATCGCCGCTTAGAATGGAAACTTGTCGTTACGTTGGTTTGCTTTTACTGTAAAGATTTTATTGAAGATGAGTGTCATGTTTTGTTGCATTGTCCCTTGTATGCTGATGAGCTAGTGCAACTTTTATCTAAATGTACAAGTCTTTTAGATGTTTGTTTTAAATCTGGGGATGTTGAGAAAGTTAGTGTTATTCTATCTTGTCCAGATGTATAGTTTTTATCCGCCAAAACCTGCCTTAATATTCTTAAAAAGCGCACTGCAAATTTGTATATATCTTCTTAATATAAATAGTACACTTTTTTATCGTATTTGTAATATCCATATATTATACTCTGTATATATTCTGGCACGGGGTTTTATGAGTCCCTCGTTAGGTTTTATCCACCTCGCCTCCGGCGACTCGGGACGCATAACACCCCGTATATCCCTCACCACAATGCTACAACATGTGTTATACAACCACATTGATCCGGGGGTGAAAATAAATGTGTGCACGTATTCTCAAAGGGGCGGTAGGGTAGCCTAGCGGGAACGTTAAGACGCAGAGTTGGAATCACGATATGCTATCTTATCACCCATTGTGATATCAGACAGATTTAATCGACACATATCAGACACATCCAGATATTCATCTGGTCACGATAACGAAGACGCTGTTCGCTACCTTTTCTCATGTCGAAATTATCAAAACTTAAGAACAAATATATATTTTTATATTCAAGGATACGCTATCAAAACAGTACTTAGTAATGACTCACTAAGTAAATAAAATAAGAATAAATAACAATAAAATCATGAACTCATTACACCTGTTTATTACTTAAAGTAAGCGCTTCCTGTGAATATCACCACAACATATATACCCATTGTCCTCGGTCCTCGGGTGTCCTCCGCAAATTTTATCATATCATTTACGCAAAGAATGAAAGATATGTATTTCCAATCTTGGTCGGAATCATTAATCTATCCACAAGATGTTTATATTATCATCAATGGAAATCGGACATACGTTTTGAAGACTAGTTAGATAAAAAGTGTTTTAGCTTTAGTAACGATGTAAGAATCTACATCGAAACGTCGCTCTATGCAATAGGTAAGAACTTGTCATCCATAAAGTTATGTTTCATTTTTGAGACACCAACTTCTAGAATGCCCATCAAACAATTATTTAGCAAAAATTGACGTAAAGAAGTTTCTTATAGCTCTCTTTCGTTTTCGTTGCTCTTCCCATGTATTATTTATTGAAACTGGCAGGTATCCAGGTATACAAAGAGAAAACAGAATATGTCAATTATGTAAGATGAATACTGTTGAGGAAGGATGAACTACATCTCCCTCTAATCTGTCCTGTTTATATGACTCTACGAACGAAATACCTAAAGCCATACTATTGTAAGCATCCAAGTGTAAGAAAATTATTTTCACTATTAACAGATACAACGACATCACTATAACAGAATCTGGCAATGTACATTTTAAGAAAAAGGATTCTTACAGAAAAGAATTTATAAATGACTTCTATCTACTCATGTAAACTCTAAATGCACTACAGGCCTGTGGCCTTTTTGAGTACTGAATAAAGATTGATTGATACATACCCATTATACCTTACGTTTTTCACACTTCATATTTTGATTTGCAACTGCAGGCAATACTAGACATAACCAACTCCTTGTGGGTATTTATTATGCAATCATACAATTGTGTATAACTGCCCATTTCCCCTGTATCATTCTGTTACTTTCTAGCTGTTGCAAGTTGTTATCCACAGTGTGCCAAATAGCCACTGGCCCACTAGCCCGTGGCTTGTCAAAATCCAGTCGGGCCAGTAAATCTCCACAGTCACTGGCCCGACTGTATATCACTCTTTCCGAATTGTTCAGTTACAATACACTTTTAATCATACAAGATTATGGACTGATAAAAATGTTAATTAAATATGCAGCTTTATGATGAAATCCGTGTCATGCCAACAATATCTTATTTTTCTATTTTTGTAATCTTTTGCTTAGTTTCTACATTCAAATTTCGGACTAAAAAAAACCAAACTTGTTTCGTTTCCTTATAATTTCACAATCTAGTATTGCCCGAAGTCTTGCAATCACAAACTCTGTCTATTGTCTCGCGTTAATGAGTGAGTGAATGAGTTTAGTTTTACGCCGCACTCAGCAATATTCCAGCTATATTGCGGCGGTCTGTAAATAATCGAGTCTGGACCAGACAATCCAGTGATCAACAACATGAGCATCGATCTGCGTAGTTCTCGCGTTAATGAGCTCAGTAACCCATTCGCACGAAGTAGATACTTTTTTTCTGGACTTACACGACACAGGGTGTCCACGTACCGAGAATATCCCCCTTTTCATCCATGGGCCAAATATTTTTAGATTTATTTTTATTTCCACTCGTGCTATGCATATTTCTCCATACAATGATACATTGTCAAAAAGGTATAAACTTCAAAAAGGTATAAGTCCACCTTATGTTAAACATGTTATATATATACTCTCCCAAAAAAGAAACGCATATAGGAATTTCAACTGTATTTATGTTTATTTTGAAACATCTTGTAGGCTTTATGAGTCAATGAAATATAGCGAAATTGCACACTGGGAATGCGGACTTATCCGTCTTTGGCACCAACTCGAAGAAAGTAAGTTTGAGTGTCACATGGAGACGTGTGGTGGCGCTGAAGTTAATACCTCGTGTGACCACCGTGGGCATCCAGAACTGCACGGCATCGCCTCGGCATCGAACGAATAAGTCTCAGAATCTCGTGTTGCCCATTCGCAGTCCACTCTGCCTGTAGTGCATGTGCGAGTTGCTGAAGTGTCTGGGGCTTAGGGTTACGGCGTCGCACCCGTCTGTCCAGGGCACCCCACAGATGTTCGATCGGGTTTAAGTCCGGTGATCTCGAGGGTCAGGGGACCACATTGATGTTGTGGTTCTGGAGGAAGTCTCTAGTGTGACGTGCTGTTGGGACCTGGCATTGTCCTGTTGAAACAACTCCCTCTGGCGATCAACGACTGGGAGGAGGTGTGGGCGTAGGATTTCGTCCCAGTACCGTTGAGCTGTCAGGTTGCCCTGGATCATCACCAAATCACTTCTCCTACGGCAGGTGATCGCCCCCCCACACGTGCATTGCATGTGAATTGTGTATTCTGTGACACTACATGCCGAAATTGAAAATCATGTTGTTAAATACGGGTATTTTACGGATGGTGCGTTTTGTTGTGATGTTTCAAAACATAAACACCATATGACTCATAAACAGAGCAAAACCTTTCGTAAAATGAATCACGTTTTCATTCATTGCTACATGAAATTGCTATTTTCATGATGCGTTTCTTTTTTGGGAGAGTATATTTCAACACTATACAGTAACAAGAGCAATACTTCAATTTCCACTTCATGTTTAAACTGTTACATACTCATGGAAGCAAACAAGGGAACACCTGAAAGTACAGGCGCCCAAATTTGCAATACAAAGTTTGTGAAGAAACCTGGAAAAGAACAGAATCACCCGCACCCCCAGATGCGCCTCCATGAGCATATATACAACGATCTCTACACATTGCTGAAAGTACAAGTTTTAATTTCCGCTTCATGTTAAACATGTTGTATATACAACGTTTGTCGTATATTGTCGACAGTACAAACATACAAATATAAACAGTAATTTATAGCCTTCATTTAAAACATGTTGTATATACAACGTTTGTCGTATATTGTCGACAGCACAAACATACAAATATAAACAGTAATTTATAGCCTTCATGTAAAACATGTTGTATATACAACGTTTGTCGTATATTGTCGAAAGTACAAACATACAAATATAAACAGTAATTTATAGCCTTCATGTAAAACATGTTGTATATACAACGTTTGTCGTATATTGTCGACAGTACAAACATACAAATATAAACAGTAATTTATAGCCTTCATGTTAAACATGTTACATATACAACGTTTGTCGTATATTGTCGAAAGTACAAACATACAAATATAAACAGTAATTTATAGCCTATATGTTAAACATGTTACATATACAACGTTTGTCGTATATTGTCGAAAGTACAAACATACAAATATAAACAGTAATTTATAGCCTTCATGTTAAACATGTTACATATACAACGTTTGTCGTATATTGTCGACAGTACAAACATACAAATATAAACAGTAATTTATAGCCTTCATGTTAAACATGTTGTATATACAACGTTTGTCGTATATTGTCGAAAGTACAAACATACAAATATAAACAGTAATTTATAGCCTATATGTTAAACATGTTACATATACAACGTTTGTCGTATATTGTCGAAAGTACAAACATACAAATATAAACAGTAATTTATAGCCTATCATGTTAAATACAACGTGTTACATATACAACGTTTGTCATGTATATTGTCGATATTGTCGAGTACAAACATACAAATATAAACAGTAATTTATAGCCTATATGTAAAATGTTACATATATGTTTGTCGTATATTGTCATACAAACATACAAATATAAACAGTTTTATAGCCTCGTATATTGTCGAACGTTTGTCGTATATTGTCGACAGTACAAAACATACAAATATAAACAGTAATTTATAGCCTTCATGTTAAACATGTTACATATACAACGTTTGTCGTATATTGTCGACAGTACAAACATACAAATATAAACAGTAATTTATAGCCTATATGTAAAACATGTTACATATACAACGTTTGTCGTATATTGTCGAAAGTACAAACATACAAATATAAACAGTAATTTATAGCCTATATGTAAAACATGTTACATATACAACGTTTGTCGTATATTGTCGACAGTACAAACATACAAATATAAACAGTAATTTATAGCCTATATGTAAAACATGTTACATATACAACGTTTGTCGTATATTGTCGACAGTACAAACATACAAATATAAACAGTAATTTATAGCCTATATGTAAAAACATGTTACATATACAAACATTCTCCTATATGTATATTTTGTCAAGGGTATAAACAGTAATTTATAGCGTTAAATATCGTTGAATATTGAGACAGTTATATATATCATAATAGAGATAGTTTATCTAATTGTATTAATTGTTATAATGACATGATCTATATGTATCCTTCACTCAATAAATAAATTCAGGTTCTCTTAATAGATTATGGAATGATAACCAGAACGCATAAAACTTGTCAGTTGTACATGATGAAATGGCGCTATATTTTGTTGCTTCAATAATATCTGCTTATCTCCCTTTGTACATGCTTGGAATTTGGAACTGCTCCTTTTACCTTTCGGGAATATATGACTTTTTTAACAAGACATATGGCATTTAATTAATTATTATTTCTTCCTTTAAATCCAAGCAAGATATTTTCTGAATTAAATTCAGTGTTACCTTCTGCTACAGTTTTAAGCCATCTAGTTAAATCATTCCATATTTCTTTTACGTAGTTACATTCACTGAAGAGGTGAGTATCTTGATAAAGCTGTAATAGAGCTTAAATCACAATACAGCGAAGCAGACAGTTTTTTAAAGTAGAGACTTTAATGCCCGAACTGGTCATGCTATGGACTATGTAATCTCTGGCTATCACGAATCCAGAACTAAGTGATGCAAGATACTGAAGACATGTTCGATATACCGCGCTAACCTCGAGATGGTGGATTAAAAACAATGACAGAGGCTTAATTAATTTATGCTGTAGCAACGGAATCCATATATTGAACGGCAGATTTCGGGGTGATTCTGAGGGTGCATTTACTGTTTTGTAAAACAATGGAGCGAGTCTGGTTGACTGTATGTTAGGCTAAACAGAATTATTTAGTTCCATTTTCAATTTCAATGTTGAAACCAGGTTGGAATCGGATCATTTCCCGATGATGTGTCAACTAAAATGTTAGAGAAATATAACTGCGACTGAGTCTCACACCATCACCGCTAAGAAACTGTTTGGGCGTCCAGCAAAAGCTGAGACATTTAAGCAGGTTTAAAAAGGTAGTTAAGTACACTTTCTCTTGAGTAGTTTAATTCGTGAAGATCCGGGCTAGAATAGGTCTTCAGCAACCCATGCTTGTCGTGAGAGGCGACTAACAGGATGGGGGTGGTCAGGCTCGCTGACTTGGTTGACACATGTCATCGGTTCCCAATTGCGCAGATCGATGCTCATGCTGTTGATCACTGGATTGTCTGGTCGAGACTCGATTATTTGCAGACCGCTGCCATATAGCTTGAATATTGCTGAGTGCAGCGTAAACTAAACTCACTCACTGATGAATTTGGTTTGGCCGTTTATAGTCGATGTCTCTACTTATGTTTCCAACACATTGCACGCACATTACGTGGAAAACGTTTCTGCATGCGCTTTTCATGTATGGTTTTCATTTTTTACGACAAACGTTCACACATTTTGGGGTGCGTTTGCGCCCAGTACACAACAACCACGACATGATTAACGGGATTCAAACATAGGAATTGTCTTATGGTGATTATTGTCAATATATATCAAATGAACTGTTTCTTTTTTAAGAGCGTATGATTTACGTAGGCAATCTATAAAATGTCTAGATATTTACAGTCATGTTATAAATTCACTAAAAACGTATCGTGTACTTTTTATGAAGTTCCAAAATGCATAAAATTATAGTAATATATTATTTAGGGTTATAAGACAAAATATAAAGACGTACGTTGACTTCGGTTTCTTTTTCATCCTAACATTTTTACCACTGGCAGATGAAAAATGTTTTCAATTGTTATCATTATAATAAAGATGGAAATATTAATGGGTAAAAAAGATTTCATCTTTGTTGATCAATTTATGGATATACATGTTAATAAACATAAACAACTACGATTTTAAGCTTGCGGGTGGCGCAGCAGAGATCGCAAACCAGTCAAGATTTCTGGGATATCATCCTGGTTGTCGCGGGGGAAAAACAACAACGAAAGCAACAATCAGCCCTGAAGAATCGCTCTGGATCAATATCTAAGACCAGCCGTCTTCGTCCAGGCACCTAGCTCCGACCCTTTCGTTACAGGAGTGTTTTCATAGGTACTGATAGGTCATGTTGTAATTGCTATCGTCATGATATCTTGAAAAACAGATTCAATTGTTATGCCATATTTATTTTTCAATTTAAGCAATTTAACAGATTTTATTGAAAGCTCATTTTCTAGCGGTTTACCAGTTGAGAGTTGTCTCCCCAAAGCGCCACCTTTCACACTTCAAAGATGGCGGCTCCTGCGAAAAGCTCGCCGAGGGATGCTCAAGTAATGGCAGCAGTTTTGAAAGATATGGGCGTTTTGGACTACGAACCACGGTTGATTAATCAAATGCTTGAATTTACCTACCGTAAGTACAAAACTGAGACCAAAATACGTTTCTCCTCACAAGTATTAACAAAAAGCATTGCCACTGTTTTGATTCACAGACGTTGTTTACGAAGATCATACTTGATTTTGTGAAGTTCTGTCATCGTTAGGCAGACGGCATCTACACACAAGCCCCTAACACCCTGAATGCCAGTGGCACATATTTGCCCATCCTCTTCAGCCACCACTTGGAACTAAAAATATTCAAAATATCACACACACGCACAAGTATTGAAGTAAGATTAAGGTAATTTCTTTATTATCCCAAGGGAAATAAACTTCATATATCCCGGTGTCAGGGGTTTTCAACGATGCAAGACAAAAACGTAATTTATATCTGTAATGTCATTTAAAGTTTTATTTTACTAACCTTGAGTGATAAAGGATATACCGCGACTTCCAGCGGTAGCTGAGCCGGTTAGGCGGCTGACTTTGTGTGCTGGCGATTAGTGCCTGACTCTGAGGGTGTGAGTTCGAATCCCGGATGGGCCTCAACTAAAAAAGTACTAGAATTTGTACTTTACTAAGAAAGTGTAATCCCAAATATAACATATGTTACATTTGACCACTTTCTAAATGGCATTGTGTAATCATAATTATGGTATCATTTGCAATTTAATTTCTGTAACAATGTGATGATCATGATACACAATACAATAACAGTAACTGAATTACAACAGTATTACAACATAGTATCATTAATAATATTGAAGTGTCTGGGACCCCCATTTTGTAGTCCAGGACCCCTGAAAATTAAGAGTATGAGTCCCAGGGACCCTCAAATACAGGACTCAAGGTAAATCCCTGCATTAGTTTTATGTAGTCCTGTTATAGTGTGTTTCCAATACAGGGAGAGAGAAAACATTAACAAAGCAAAAAAACTACCCATAATTACTCAGAGGACTGAATTTTTTTAAAAAGTCACTAGAATCAGTTAGGATGTTTTGGAAACAATATGAACACAAAAAATGCCCAAATAACTTTTCCACCAATTATGTTTCACAAAAGTTAGTCATAAGACACCCAATACATCACATGTATTGCATGCACGCTGCGGCCGAAACCGATATTTCAAACTAGCATTCTATCCCTATTATTCACTGTTACAATGTTTGTGTTGCTATCAGGGTACATTACCGATATCCTGGATGATGCTAAAGTGTATTCAACTCATGCCAACAAGAAGAACCTGGACACCGATGATGTCAAACTGGCCATTCAGTGCAAGATGGATCACTCTTTCACTACACCTCCACCGCGAGATGTAAGTATCTGTAGACGAGGGTCTAAGAGGTAGATTGGGGAGTAGGGCACTTTACTTGGTTCACTTTTTCAGATTGATTAGCGCAGCAGGGGCTCGAACACACTTCGCCGGATTACTAACATCATTAATTAGTGACATAATTAGCAGACTCTCTACCTCGGGACCATGATTGCTCTCACAGCTCGTTTAACGGGTCATTTGCACAGAAGTGAGGCGGAAGCGCAACAAACGCCTTTCCCATTCATTTTTTTTTACGCCATTGTTTCTTGGACTGTACTGACGAGTCCCGGATGGAACGAAATGTGTTTCAATGTGGATATAAATAGGATTACACTGCCCTAAGGTGAGGTCTAACCCTAAATAAAGATCAGTAAGGGTCCCTAACCCTAAGGGTTGGAGAGGTTCCCTAACTCTAACCCTAAGGATCGGAAAGGGTGCCATACCCAAACCCTGTAGACTAGTGCTGTTCCCGAATAATTAAAATAATCAAAGATTAGTCGCATTGACCAAACAAACAAGCAATAGATCACATTTTCTCATAATCGAAATAATTTTGGAACTACTGTTTTAGTGTTTAAAATGCTTGATATATCTTTGAAGTTGTCAGGGTCTGAATCATGTTTAATTCTAAGAAAACTCCCTTCTTACTGAAAAGTCATGACTGAGTATTTCTTGAAGTCTCTTGGAAGTTTATGTTCATGATATGTCAGTCATCAGGATCAAGTTAAAGGATCAAGTTGCATCATTTTACTGCTTGACTCGTATTAGATGAGCCTATGGGCAAAGTGTACACATACTTAGTATGATATAACAATCAAAACACGATTTACACGGGGAAATTGAACTTTTCAAGTTTTAGACGACAACCTGTTTCCCTCATTTTTCAAATGGAGGGTGTTCCCATATGTGCAAATTGGGGTCATTTGTCAGGTCGTGGCTCATCTAATAGTAGTACATCAGTACATTGGATTTGAAATTTGAGTGGTTTCCAAATGAACAAAACATAAACAACAACAGAAAATAACAATTTTTTCTTTATGCTTAAATACATTAACAACCTGAACAGGAAAATCTGAAAAATAACGCTAACCAATTTTTTTTCGATGATTGCTTTTTGGTAATGTACCAATTATTAATTGTATCATTTCAACCAATTCCCAACACTGCTGTAGACCAGGATCCAATAGGTAGATTGTCTGACCATTTGCTGACTAGACCATGAGGTTTGTGGTTCACTCCACAGCCATGTCCCCATTGTCACATCAAAAGATGGCTCTTCATGTTATTCAGGGTTTATAAGGCTTAAAAAAGCCTGAAATATGGACATTTTAACCTTAAAATGCCCTTATTTCATTTTAGCCTTGAAAAAACACCAACTGTCAGTGATTTGCCTTAAAAAGGCCCTATGTTTAGCAAAACTTGTCAAGTTATGATTTTACAGAAAACTAATACATAATCAAATTACCTTGCACTGACTGAGTTTGGTTTTATGCCAATTTAAGGATTATCCTAATGGCTTTCTGAAATTTAAAACTATATGCCCATGACCAAGTCTGTCAGCCTCAGGCCTAGAAGCTAGTGTTTATTTCCAAGAGTGCAAACCATGGTGGATAATCCAGACTCATAAATATAACCATCACTACATTGCTATGTTTGTGTTCTACAGCTGCTGATGGAGATAGCTCGACACAAGAACAGTCAACAGCTACCCCTTATCAAGCCCTACTCACTACCACGCTTGCCACCGGACAGATATTGCCTCAGTGCTCCCAACTACAGGCTTAGGACACTCAAGAAGGTGAATGTTTTTGTCCATTTAGATTCCAGTCTAGAATAATTAGATACTAGGGATGTCACGATACAAATTTCTCTCGATGCGATACATATCTTGATACTGAGGTCACGATATGGTGTGTATTACGATGCGACATTTCCGACACTTTGCTCGTTACAAGCAGCCCTTACCTGAATCACAAACTCATACCATATCTCACCTGTCACCAAGTATGTTGGTAGAGATTACTAGAGAAGGGAAGAGTGAGTATCAGCCAAGTATCCATCAACCACACTTACCAAGTCTAGTCATGTGTGATGTTCTGTGTAACAAATTATACAAGAAACATGTGTTCAGTTACTTTTAGTAATGTCCTATTTGTATTTAACAAAAAATATTTTATATGAAATATCGGTGCAACATCAAACATAATAGATATATGTCAACATACAGATGAATCGTATATCATATTGTGCAAACCCTGCGGGCGATGTACCTGTGAATTGCGACATTACTAACGGATACATTGGTTGATTGATAAATTCCTAGTCTCACACAGAAGGGATTGGCTATAGACAGTTCACGGAAGTATATCACCCCACCCCACCCTGCCCCACTCCCCAAACTTGATTTGGATGAGCAAGTTGTTTTGTTATTACAAGTCAGTAAACTAAGCAGATGTCTATGATCTTTGAGTTTGAAACAAATGAAAGGAACTTTACAGGAATGTGTTTTGTTTGTTCGTTTCTTGTTACCATAACAGTCAGCAATATTCCAGTTCTTTGGCGGCGACTGTAAATAATCAAGTCTGGACCAGACAATCCAGTGATCAACATGATGAGCTTTGATCTTTGCAAATGGGATACAATGACATGTGTCAACCACGTCAGAGAGTCTGACCACCCTATCCCATTAATTGCCTCTTACGACAAGCATGGCTTGATGAAGACCAATTCTAAGTTGGATCTTCGCAGGTCTGTTACATTAAGAGAGGACTGACTGACTGAGTTTGGTTTTACGCCGCTTTTAGCAATATTCCAGCAACATCACGGCAGGGGACACCAGAAATGGGCTTCACACATTGTACCCATGTGGGGAATCGAACCCGGGTCTTCGGCGTGACGAGCCAACGCTTTAACCATTAGGCTACCCCACCGCCCCCATTAAGAGAGGAATGTGTAAACCCAGGTTATGTTGATTTAACAGTCATAACAATAAGAAACATACTTTCTAAAGTTTAATTTATTTTTTATGAATATCGAGTAGTCTCCCAAACTCATGAAAACTTGTTGATGCAAGCGAGATCTATTGACTGATTACTCGATCAATCGCTCCAGCACTATTGCAAAGTGTGAAGTTACACCACAGACAAACAAATGCCTTTTTATATATGTCTTATATCCATGTCAATGTTTACCTACATTTTACTTTTGCTTGAATTTGTGTTGATTGAAATTATTTATTGTGTTTGCCATTGCATGATTTTGTTAGGTCTGAATTATGGGAATTTGTTTTAACATATTCAATCTTGGATTGTTTATTATTACAGGAACATGTTTTTTCTTTCAGTAACCACTTTTTTTTCATTTCATTTAACCTTGACTAAACATAAAAATGCATTTCTATACGGTCCAAGCAACATAAAACTCAAATCGAACACTTTCACTGTTTCAGTCTCGAATCCAGATAGGATTGCCTCAGTTTTCTTCTGGTTCTCCCAGAATCAGCATTGCTCCCATGCAGTGTAAGTATGTGTCAGGCGTAAGTAAGTGCTGCATGCTCTGTTTTTTTGTTTGACACCATCCTCAGCAATATTCCAGCTATATGGCGACGGTGTGTAAGTAATTGGGTCTGGACAATCCAGTGATAAACATCATGAGCATCAATCTTTGCAATTGGGATATGATGATGTGTGCACAAAGTCAGCAGTTCTGACCACCCGATCCTGTTAGTTGCCTTTTACAACAAGCAAGGGCTGCTGAAGACCATCTTACCCCCATCTTCATGGGTTTCCATGCTCTGGTGAAAAGTGTGTCTGACGGGAGAATGGGTTGATCCCAGTCCACCTCGTACCAAGAGACGTTAGAGATGATTCTTGTTTACACAGCTGGGATTGAGGGCACAAAACATGTACTAGCCAGTTTGGAGTCGGTACACTGTGTCTGATTGGTGTCTTTAGCTCTATGTTCTTAATGTAAAACTGACCCGTGAAGGTTTGGGTTAGAATATTGGCCTTCAGTAACCCATGCTTGTCGTAAGAGGCGACTAACGGAATCGGCTGGTCAGACTCGCTGACTTGCTTGACACATTTCATCGGTTCCCGATTGCGCAGATCGATGCTCATGTTGTTGATCTCTGAATTGTCCGATATTCAGCTTTTCTATTAGAGCAGGGGAGGTGGTGTAGCCTCGTGGTTAAAGCGTTCACTCGTCACGCCAAAGACATGGGTTCGATTCCCCACATGGGTACAATGTGTGAAGCCCATTTCTGGTGTCCCCCACCGTGATATTGTTGGAATATTGCTAAAATGCTAAGCTCACTCACTCACTCAAAGTGTGAAATCAGGTCAGTCTAAGTAAACTAAGGCTCAGTATTATTCGTTACACTGCTATACTGAGTCTAACAAAACCTAGTAGAAGGTCGCGTTAGCTAACCTTTGCGCAACCTATGACCGTCCAATCAAACGTGAGACGGACGAACGAATTTAACCAATCAGACAACGGCTACTATTTAGGGTTTGGCGGGACTTACAAAATGGATTTTCTCTTCCCCGGTCGCCAACACTGATCTCCCAACAAACGAAAACCCGCATAAAACACAGATATTTGACCTGCAGTATATACGCTTTGGGGTTTCTGTTGACATGTTATCATGAGCTAATATTCCCGCAGGCTGACATCCTTGAATACTGACAAGACGCTATTTTCAGCGACTGATTTACTCACGATTGTGGCATGCTCCATGTGCATTACTCGGAAGCGATCGTATGGAAATAGCACTAGGAATTGTTCGGGTACAAACTTTTTCGAGGTAAAAGTTCAAAAGGTATGAGCGAATGTCAACTTTCGCGATTTGGTAAGCTGTATTCTGATTGGTCAATTGAAAAGGTTATCTGACGCGATCTTCTGCAAAGTTTTGTTAGACTCGGTATAGCAGTGTAATGAATAATAGTGAGCCTAAGTTTACTTAGACTGGAAATCAGGTTTTAAGAAATTATGAGAATTGACTTTCACTTTGTGTGAGTTCACTGAGTGTGAACCTTCATAGAGGGAGGGCCCAATCGTATGAACACCGTATGAATGTTCATATAAGGTGACCAATCCAAAAAGCAACGCATACACACAGTCATTGCTTGGGAGAGTTCATTCAGACACACCTCGTTCAGTTAGTGTTTATGGAATTATAAACATTTGTCGAAAACATTACTTTGCAGAGTTAGATTTACATAAACACTGACTGCACGAGAATTGCCTGCGAGTTGACAAAACCTTCAGGCAAAACTAGAATTGTTAGAGATAAGTCGGTTTTGGTCATTTGAAAGAGGTAGACCTTAGATATTCAGGGTTAGTGTAGTAAAATTGGTTTAATTCTTAGACAATTATTGATGCTTTTTGGTACATATTACGTTATTGTTCATCAAAGATTGTTTTTCCATAAGTGTATCGGTAGTAATGTTTAGTTCCTTGGTTTATGATTTAGAAAATAAATGTTATCACGTTTAGTTGATTATTTTGTTACTAAACGCGTTCACAAAAAGCTTTGGGAGATTTATATTATCAGAATTTTTCTTGAAATTATGACCCTGAAGAATTGTGATGGGAAGAGCAATTAATGTTTTGGACTGAGTACTACCGTATATGACCGTCTATAAGACGACCCCCCAAACTTGACCCTTAAAATCAGTGTCAAAATGGTATGTTTCGTGCATAAGTCGATCCCCCGCGATGGGGTCCTAATCGCGGCAAGCACAGACCACAGACAACTGGCAGTTACCAATAATTATAACTTTGGTCCACATTATTCAAAGAATTCACAGTCATATATATTGTGTCTACTCACGGATCGAAACGAAGTGTAGTTGACAGAAAATGCATAATATATTTTGCTTCTCTAAATATCATATTTATTGTAGCAACAAACTGGCTTGCTAATTTTACCCCATTCAACAATCACGGTATGTTTAAATCCCTTTGAATTTTACAAAAATCCAAATAACAGAATATCCTATTTTCAAACAAAATGTTGGTTTTTTTCTAAATTTGCCTGCAATGGGCATTTCAGTTTCATTATAACATTTGGTACAGATGGGATTGGAAATCTAATAATTGACATCAGCAGATGTCATTCAGAATGATTACATTAAAATGACAGGATAAGACGCCTGCTTATATATGAATCTATTTAGAGGTAGATGAATCATGAACTACAGTATATATTTTGTATTGTTTCTTTCAGCAAAGGGCTCTAGTTCATCTAGTCACGGTCTCACGGTGGTATCAAAAGCACAGCCGACTGTGACTATTATTAGCAAACCTGCCACAGCCACTATACCAAAACCTACCATCAGAGTCAATACAGGTTGGTATGATACGTGTTTGACATTGTGAGTGAGTGGGTGCATGAGTGAGGTTTAACCATATCCCAGCCATATCATGGCAGGCTGTAGCAGCTCACCCGACTGACTATAACAAGCAAGCCTGCCACAGCCACTGTACCTAAACCCACGGGGTTCGAATCACTGTTCGGACAATAATTTTTAAAAATAAAAATCTAGACATTTGCAGTCATATATTGCTTTTGTATGTTTTGATGAACATGTTTTTCAAATTTGAATGAAATCGGTGAAGAAATAAAGATTTTAGAAAATTCTACAGCTACACTATTATATAGAATACAAAAGGAATACCACTTTCGATGCTAAACCATGATTAAAAACTGGGCAGCCCGACTACTTTAACATGCAGTTCAATCAAACCTTACGTTTTTCACAAACTTTTTTGTGCTTGTAGGTTATTCTTTTACCTTTTTTGCACATCATATTCAATGACCGCCTCAGTGGTGTAGTGGATAGAGCATCCGTCCGGAGAGCGAATGGTCGCGGGTTCGATCCCTGTCTGCATCATACCAATAGACATTAAAATATGGTACTTGTTGGTCCCTGTCTGGCGCTCGGCATTAATGGGTACAAGCACTGTAGCGTTCGGAGTCAGTATAATGTGTCTGAGTGGAGTATTCATGCTTACTTGCGGCATGTTATCTCAGTGTGCTAGGACTATAAAACCAGCTAAAGTCTGGGCTAGTACAAGCAGCCACACATACACACGCATGCAAGTCGTCATATGAGCGAAATATTCTTAAATACAACGTTTACCCCCATTTCACCTCACCCAACCTATGTTATGAGAAATATTGTTAATAAGTAGTTTATAAGTTGACCACTGGCTTTAACTTGTGTCTTGTTGACAAATGTTACAATAACATGGCTTTTTCTCAACATCTTAGGGATGACAAAAGGCCTTCCCAACACCAGCGGTCAGATCATCACTACACGGCCGATACCAACCAGCACTTTGTCCACTATTGGTCAGCAGGGAGCATTTGGAGGTCAGCCTGTGATCCCTGGTGTGATCCCTGGTGTGATCCCTGGTGTCAACCCTCTCAAGAGGAAGCTGGAAGATGATGATTATGATAAATGATGTCGATAACTTGATGTGTGGAAGATCTTGATTATGACAAGATTTGTGGTCAATAAGCTTGATGAGTTGGAGCTTGAATTTGACAACTGGTGGTGTTCAAGAGAAGGATATCTGGAAGACTTTGATTATGACTGGTAGATGTTGTATCCGATGAGCTTAAACTCTGTAGGAGCTTGAGTATGACAAGTGGTGTGGTTCAAGAGAAGGATACCTGGAAGAATCTGATTATGACTTATGTTCTGACCAAGGAGTTTGAACTCTGTGGGAGCCTGAGTAAGACAAGTGGTGTGGTTCAACAGAAGGATATCTGGATGGGCTGTAGAGAAAAGTGGAAGAGGATGGTAGTGACAAGTTGCTGAGGCTGGAGGTGATGTGGTTTCATCAGGGGATGGATGTCTGGAGGCAGTGTTCTCAAATTACAGTGTCAAAATATCCTGCACACCCAGTTTAATTAAGCTCAACTAGTCAACATTACAGTATATCAAACACACTAATGTTGCCTTAGGTTGGTACACTATTACATTGAGGCAGTGTTCTCAATGTTGCACTGTCAAAATATCCTGCACATCCAGTTCAAGCTCAACTAGTCAACATTACATTGTATCAATAATATCAACATACAAATGTTGCCTTGGGGTGGTACATATCTTAATACACCATACATAACTATACCATACATCAGCCATTTTGGTATGGGATGTACATGAGCTCCACATGTAGTTGGAGAATTTTACTTTACTCAGATGCCATTTTTGCTGCCTTCCTGAAAATTCGATTTGGGAGTTTCAATTAATTGCTTCATAAGTAAATGTTTGTTTTTGAAGGTTCATACAAAATATTAGTTTTGTTGCATTTTCAGCCCAGTTAAGTCTCTGAGGTTGCCACATACCATTATGGAACTTAGATTTTGAATTCAGTTTTGGTGTTTAGGGTTTGTTTGATATTTTTGAGGTTTAATCAAACTAAACCAAACAAATGGAAATGAGGTCGTTTTCTGCTTATTTTTAAATTTTGCATTTTGTCTTGAGTGGCTGTGTTAGTAGTATCAAACGGACATGGTGGACAGGGGTATGGTATATGAATGTGTACCATTAAAATTTAACATTTATAATGCAAAAGGGACATCTGTACTTCACTGGTCCAAAAATAACATTCGCATATTTACTTAACTATCAATACAAAACTAACTGGCCACCAGGACCACTGCAAACTTATCATTGTGGTCCTGGTGAATTTTTACTAGCCAAGGACCACAGGACCAGCCTTAATTTTAAGAGCACTTATTTTGGAATGTCAGGGAAACCCATTGTGTAGATACTTGTTTTTAGCCCTTTCAGTATCCTGAAATCACCTCTGTGGGCTGTGGGGTAGCCTAATGGTTAAAGCGTTTGCTCGTCGCGCTGAAGACCAGGGTTCGATTCCTCACATGGGTACAAGGTGGGAAGCCCATTTCTGGTGTCTCCTGCCGTGATATTGCTGGAATATTGCTAAAAGCGGCGTAAAACTAAACTCACTCACTCACGCTCTGTTTTTGTTATTGTCTTGGCTTCACCATACTGAACACTCTTTTGTGACAAATATGGTTGGGGGGTGGGGTGGACTCTGTGTTTTCTTGTCATCATACTATGAGGTGTGTCGTCATATTGTGTCTCTTGTCGAATAAAACAGCATAGAAACCTAAGTCATATCATCTCTCTGATACTGATGGGTCGTGTTTCCTTATACATGATCAAGTGTATTGATAATGATGAAGAATCATGTTTTAGGATGTCCAAAATCATGTAAAAACTTTCAACAGAACAAAATGTATATGATCTATAAATTATGTGACATAGAATCTTGCCATGATTAGAATAAATCCTAGAAGTTGTAGTATATTTTAGTATTATGTTTTTCTTTATTGTGAAGAACAGAAAGTATGTAATTTTGCTGAGTGTGGATTTAAACAACAAACGAAACAAAAACAAACAAAACGTAAATGTACTTGTTGACTTGCAATTCAACCTCATCTTAACAACATCAAGATGACTCATTATAATTACATAGAAATCAGAGGAATGGGCCTTTCCCATTAACACAATAACTTTGTCTTGATATTCACTCGATTTGATATTTCTTTTGAGGGTGCCATATTAGAATAAGTCCCCAGCATGATGTTTATCACTGGATTTTCTAGTCCAGACTCGATTATTTACAGACCACCGCCATATAGCTGGAATATTGCTGAGCAAACCAACCAACCAACATCTATAGGCCATGCAAATCAGATGCGTTTACTCTGTCTAAACATTGATCATGTATAGTTAAAATTATAACAGTTTATATCAGAGCTCATAATATACTGAGGGATTAAAGTAACGGATCATATGAAAGCACAAGTGTTCCTCTATTTTTTTTCCCAGGTTTCTTCACAAGCTTTGTATCGCACAACTTGTGAAGAAACCTGGAAAAAAACTAAAGGAACACTTGGCTTCATGTGATCCCTTATTTGTTTCCCTCAGTATATATTCAGTTTTGGATATTTTCTTTGAAGTGATTGCTTCACCAGAAGCATACATATTGATACATTAATCAAAAACATGATGGTTTTTAGTCTGGTTTTGTCTGCAGTATGCAAGCTCTCTGATGGCAACCTGGACCAGACAATCCACACAGCTGTTTAGGACCAGGCAACTTAGCTGGTACACACAGCGTAGCTGGCAGAGTCAGGAAGGCAGAGAGAGATAAGGCAGTGGTTGGCCTGTACATACCAAAGCCCAGATCTAGGTCGCACATGCTATATTAAGTCTGCGCGTGTGTTGCGTGTGCTCCCTTGCGGTACTAATACAAAATGGAATTTTGTCAAGGTTGTTACATACGTCACTGCTATCTAATGATATTTAAGAAATATATATATGAGGTTGATATATTCAGTCAAAAAAGTTCACATTCCATTCATTTTCTAAACTTTATAATAAGAACAATTTGTCCATTTTCAAATCGCTTTAAGAGGTCTTTGTAGAGTTATTCCTGCAATTCAATATATATGTACACTGAGTATGATATCTAATTCTACCAATACAATCATGCAATCATATTCAAGCAGGGTATATGACTTCAAAATGATAAGGAATTTGGACTCACTGTTTTGAAACTGCTAAATCCATCCACTGCAGTTAATATAAGAAATATGTACACACAGATAAAGTGAGTGTCAATATCACACTTGTACATGAGATCTAGTGTCCATAAAGAATTTCTTCACAGACTGTCATGGGCAGGGTATCCACATTCTTAATGACAGATTATATATACATGTATTTTGTCATTGTCAGGGTATACAGGTTATCCACAATTCACCGTTTACCTGGTATAAACGATTATGTCATTTATTGGGATATCCGGTACAATGTATTATTGATGGCACATATCCATGTGTATCAATATAACAATGAGAAGAGTCCTTATGATTTTTCACTCTTTTGGTCGGGACTGGAAGTACGGCCTGGACACATGGTGATACCTGCATGTGATGTTCCCTCAGCATAATTTCATATTTCATCTTGTCAGATTTCACCCCCATACACGCCGTTTTAACAGGTTGATGGTAGCGTGGACTTGTTCACCTCCCTGCTCCCCATGCAAACCTAATCCAAAACCCCAGGTGTTGATCCAGTCACACACATGATCCTCTAAAAATGCATTTTGGGAGTAACACTACTGGATGGGAATTTATGGCGATAAAAGGACATGTACTCTTTTATCTTCTTTGGATTGTTGGCATTTCTTCACAACCGATTGGCTTGTCATGACTGATAAGTTGATGAACAGCAGAAAATTTCCGGTTTAGTTCCTCATACACCTCCCTAATACAGAATGCCGTAATAGTGTTCCGTCATGCTTTGTCATTTTGCAGGTGACGGTTGTAATGCTCCTGCAAAGGTCTTCATACACCTGTGGCTCGAGATATTTTTACAGTGATTCCCCACAAAGGACCGTGCATGATAGGCCTGGGGTACAATTTTTGCGATTTCAACACTTTGTCCAAATTTGCTGTAACTGGGCCTTTTCTTCCCTTAAGTTTGTTTTCTTGAGTCTTTCTTGATATTTCTTTCCTTAGTTTCTTTAATTTGTCTTCTAATTTCTTTTCCTGTTGTTCCAAATGGGCGAGAGGTGTATTGTCTTCGATTTCTTCTAAAACGTTAGTAAATTTTTCTCCTTCTTTCTAGTTTTTGTATTTCCCCGACTTCTCAAAACATACTTCCAAATTCAGTCTCTGGACTTTCTTCATCAGTCATGAGAGCATGTCCTCCGATGAGCATATCGAGCTCATGACATTCCCGTTCCAGCATTACATGATGTTTTAACTACTCCCAGTAAAATATGCAAATATGGTGGGCATACTCTGTTGACATGCACTGGGAATAGAGGCTGGTGGATAGCATTGTGGTATGTCCCGGCATTTCCAATTCTACCCTGTCCCTTTCTACAAACTTTTTGTGATCTCTTTTCAGTGATTTAAGTGTTCTACCTTCCACATATTCCCGACTTTCGGGGTCCTTCTGTATCTGTAATTTTGAAGCATGACACCACAGGCATGGAAATTTGGCAGCTGCACCAGAAATGCCGTAGACCTTGGATAAGAAATCATAATCACCAAAGAGAAAGACTTTTACTGCGTTTTCCATGCCAAGTCTGTCCTTTAAATTGTTTGATTTGCTCACAGTATGTTAAAAGTGCTATTTCTAGATTTTTTCTGGTGTCCTTTGCCTCAAAAATGTTGAAAATGACAGTATTGTGTTTTGAATTTGGTCGTGAAAGATTTGCTATTTGTAAACAGAGTTTGAATGAACCACCGCCGTGGTCGCCACCAATTTTCAACCAAATTTCATCCCTCTGGAATGTGTTTGCAGTGCCATGTTAGTTGACCAGATTCAAGGTAATTATTGAGAAGTTCTGTAACGAATGTCGGCAGATCTTTCACATATGCCATCGGAACATCTGATTTTACCCGTTCACCATCATCATTGGTTGTTTCCATTTCAATCATTTTGGAGTCAATGTGGGAACTTAAAATTTGAGACTGTTCTTTTCTCTCAAATGTTTCGTTTTCAAATTTCACTCCAAGTTTTGACATTAGTTTCTTTTGTTTTCGATATTGCGTCCAGGAAAGTCCCAAGTAAGCCTTGATTGCAAGCCCATATCTGGAGGAAGCTCTCAGTTTTCTTCTAATGCCTGCTTTTTGGCAAATAGTTTCACGTTTTTCATGGGAACGCTTTTCAACTCGGATGAAAACTGGCTTATGTGGTCTTTTTTTCACCAGTTAAAATTAATCTTAATTTTTGAAAGTTCCTGAGAGCGCCTTCTTTCAAAGGGCTTTGGCCTCTGAAGACAATTTCCGTGCTTTCTTTACACGCTGAAAACACAAGGGCTGTCCTTTTGTTTTACATTCTAGAGTTCTCTGATTACTGCTTGTATTTAGCTTTCTCTGAACTAAATGGGTTTGTAATTTTTCTTCAAATTTCGAAAGTGGTTGCATAACTGGTTTATTTAAACATTCACTTAAGGACTGTTCACGTGGATTGTCCTGAAACTGGAATGGTGACGTTTGAGCCTCTTTAAATTCCTTCATGGGACGGGGTGGTGTAGCATGCTGTGTCGCCACTGAACTTGAACCCTCACATGCACCATGTTCCATGATTTCTAATCCTAGAATCGATGTTTCATCATCATTTGCCCTTTTCTGTCTGTATTTTTTTGGCCTCCCCCCTTTACTTTGGGTTTTAAATTGTACACATACCCAACAGTCATTGTCACATTGCTTAACCTCCCAAACATTTTCAAATTTATCTCCTTTGATAGTATCCTGCATTTTCCTTTGTTTAGAGTGAATGTCCTGTTGTAACAGGTCGCACAGAAAAAACTTTGGGTGGAAACTATTGTCAGATAACACATCAATACCATAGACATGATACAGTCTGTCATTGAACTTCTTACATGGCCTAGACGTACTCTTTTACCAAATGGTGTAAGTCTCCCAGCACATATCCGGCACAGTAATTCCAGTTTTTAAAGTGATCTCACATATTCTCTCCATTTTGAATACAAATTCCAACGAAAATAACACTTTAAACTTGCTCCATTTAGAATACACAAAATACAGCTTCAAACTTTCACGGCAATACTACTAGAATCATCAACAAGAACCTTACACTCTCTGATACACTGTATGAATGAAACCTATGTTTGCGACAGATTCATGTGAAACAGACCCTGCTTGAATAAACTCTGTTAATTTCATCTGACAGAGGAAAGTTGGGGCTGTCATATAACGTAAACAGTTTCCCCCAGAAAACCCAGATAAGATAATTGTGACACTGTTAATTAAGAACATTTTTCAGTTTTACGGGATTCCAGACTGGGTTTGTTTATTGTAACCTCCCTTGTCAAGATTTCTACACACAGTCATTAATCTTCATTTATGGTTTGCCACAAAGTTAAGTGTTAGGATAACACCAATAATGTTAACACAAACAATGTTAGAGAGGAGAAATAGTACGAGTTAAGCTTGAGGTGGGAGGGTTGCTAATGTGGCCGCCATCTTTAAATGATGATGCCAGCCTTAGCAACAGTTAGTACGCATGCGCAGGCCATGACTCATCACTCTCCTCACTCAGCAGAAGGCAGGCTAAAGAGTCTGCCTGGGCCAGATATAAACAGCTGTGTCCAGTGACTGATGTAATGAGCAACAACCCATGCCATCCAGGTACATTAACATGAGAACCTGATCACCAGTCCACGTTACTACCACCAATACTTGCTGGAGACTTGCTATTACCCACAATGTTGCAGACTGAGTGAGTTAAGTTTTATGCCGCACTCAGCAATATTCC